GTCGTGGGATGGCGGCAGTAGGCAATGTAGAACCGAAAATAGGCATAAATGTCTACATTCGTAGCCCACGTGAAATCCGGTGCTCCAATCGATAGGCTAACACGAGTTAAGAAAACGCCGCTCCCATCGCCGCGCGCGGCGGAGCGGCAAATTACGATTCTCTTGCCCCTCTCCCCCTGATGTCATTGTCAGAAATGAATAGCTGAACTTCGCGTAAAACAAGTTTTCCCTGGTGCACGCCACGGACAAAATGTGTTTTACTCCACTTCCCGCTCTGTAATTCGCAAATCAGTCAGGACGGTGTCAGGAGGGACGGATGAGCACGCCAGCTGCCTTCCAATAGTGATCGGATAGTGATCGACTTTGGAAGAAAATCAGGGGTGAAAACGCCGCGGGTGAGCTCATTCATTCTTGGACCTCCCAGGCTGATAGCGATGTTCAAGGGTATGCCGCTATAAGTATAGTTTGTAACATTGCAACTTGTCGGGGGCGCGGCACGAGCTCGCGTCCGGCCGCCTTGCTCTACCAATGGTGATCGAGCAATGATCGATGTAGGAAGGAATCAGCCACTGGTGGGAAGGCCGCAGGTGGGAACCGCTGATTGCGACCCGACAGTTCGCGATGATATAAACCGTACATGACATTCCATCGCTTAGCAGGTGGCCAGCGTTGTCTGAGTATGACTCCAATTGATGATGTCTGGTAAGGTTTTCAGAAACCATCAGAATCATGAAGATCTTATCCGAATTACATCTGAATGCTGTCATCGAAAACTGTGGTGGTTTGGATACCGAAGTGGACTTCGAATGGTGGGTTTGTTTGAAAACACGGAGAGCCTTAAGTCATAACGAATCTTCTCGAGCCACTGGATTGACTTCTACTTTTAGGCAAGATACTCTGTCACCAGGAGAACAACAACGTCTTTCCCTGGCCAGAGTAGTATTCCATCGACCAAAAATGGTAATTTTGGACGAGGCTACTAGCAGTATTGATGTGAACGATGAAAAGGATATATACGAACTATTGCGGAAGGTATTGCTGCCGGTTTTCTATTTTCATGCGCCTTTGGAGTATCAATTACTCGCCCAGCGTGTTGGTCAACCCGTCCACGCAACTCAATCTGCGTCGATCTAGGACCTCCGTCAGGGATAAGATCTAGAATAAATGGCTGCCTCATCTCCCGCTAAGTTTGTTGTTGCTGTGTGTGGTGTGCTGTGTGAAAATGTCTGTCTGGCGGGTATGGTGGTTGTGTTTGAGCCGGAAATCATAACTTCCTTCAAGACACAGCAGTAAGTGCGCTCAAACTTATAGATGATGTATGGTCGGCAGAAACAAATTCATTGGTCGGGTGGCATGGAAGCGATAGCCTAGTTTGATTAGATACCATAAGGGGCCGTATAAAGGCGAAGTCAGCAAATTCATAACGCGCGTCACAGCAAGACTAGAGCGTTGGTTCCAAGAAGTAAGATAGGAGGCAGGACGGGAACATTATTATTGGTGGCAGGGGTGGCAGAGAAGATGGTAAGAAGCTTGGATAAGATATCCATAAGGGGCTTAAAAAGGGCAAGTCTACCAATTCATAAACACCGGGCCACAGCCAGCGATTGCGGACGTTTGATTTCAAGAAGTTAGATAGGGGCACCGATGCGGAACATTCATTGACGTGGGCTGAAGGAAGTGATAGCAGACTGTATAAAGATACCATGGAGGGAGTCGGGTGAAAAGAATTGACGGTTATCCCTAATTCATAACACAGGCCGACTAGCAGCGGATCGACGTTGGATTTCGAAGAATGTTAGAGGTGAGGGGGTAGGAGGGCAACATTATTGGTGGGTGGACAGGAAGTTATAACAACTGATAAGATTACCATAAGGGCCCGTATGTTAAAGGCGAATCGTCAGCATAATTCGATAACGCGAGGCACATGCAGAGACTAGAGCGTTGGTTCCAAAAGTAATAGGAAGGCAGACGGGGACATTATTGCCGTGGGTGGCAGGAATCGGTTAATGAGCTGATAAGATACCACAAGGGGCCTTAAAAAGAGCAATCTACCTAATTCATAACACCGGCCACAGCAGCGATGGGACGTTGATTTCAAGAATTTAGAAGGGGCAGCGATTCGGGAACATTATTGGTGTGGACAGGGCAAAGTGATAAGCAGCTGATAAGATACATGAGGAGTCTTGAAAAGAATGAGTTACCTAATTCATAACACCGGCCACAGCAGCGATCGGACGTTGATTTCAAGAAGTTCAGATTAGGCTGCGGCAGCGCATGGCGAACATTATTGGGTGCGGTGACAGAAGTGATAACAGCCTGGATAAGATTTACCACAAGGGCCCCTTAAAAAGAAGGGGCCGGTCACAGCTCCATTAGCGCGGACCACAGCAGACGACGGGATGTGCCAAGAAAGATAGGGCAGGACTGGAACATATTGCGTGGGTGCAGCGACGTTGATAACAGCTGATAAGCTGTTATCACGTCCTGCCACCCACCAACTGATAAACTTCAGCACCGGTGCCCAAGGAACAATGGTTAGAGGCTTCGTGAGTCAAGTATTCTATCCCTTAGCGATATGGTTACGACCGCTAAGCTCTCGAGTTTCGACGAAAATTAAAAGCCCTGGAAGCTGCTCAACGGAAGTACTAGGATGTGAGAAATGTGAGGATATATCACCATGATATCGATGTTATTACCATCAAAAGTCTTTCAACCGCTAAGCTGTCCTATTTCCAACGGATGATGAGTGTTTCTTAGAAATGTGATAAGCACCAGACATTAGCAAACGTTCATTAAATAGGAGAATCATAATGAAATAGGCCGTAAATCGTAATCGGGCCGCGAAGTGTTTTGGCGGTCAATACAGGAATCCTGTGAGCGCCAGTTACGCATTCACCATAGTTCAACCCATACGCGCAGTTAGTGCGCGTCAAGCCAAGCTTGTCTAGAATAACTGGCTGCCTCATCTCCCCTATCCGCCCTCACGAAGGCGGAACTTCATGTGAACTAGTCGGCAATACCTTGAGGTATGAAGGAGGTCAGGCACACATGTTGCCCCCTCTTTGTAGCAGTCGGGTATGGTGGCCTGTATTGACTGACATGGAACTGCAGCAGACTCCGTTGAATAAACTTGTTTAGATCAATGGGTGGGGACGTTGCTCGTACAAATCATGCAGAGCGCCGCACGCATTTAGTCAGTGATCCCGACAATCGGTTAGGCCTGCGCACGGGGCAAGGACTTCATGTTGCTGACAAAAGGCGAGCCGTTTCAATGGAACCAGCCTGAGTCCGCCAACAATGACGGCAGGAAAGGTTGTTGGACTGCGCGTTCATTTCCACGCCCTTTTGTTTGCAGGATCAGACTATGACACCGCTCAAACCTAGCAGCCTTGAATTCGATACTGGACTTACGATGAACTGAGCAGGAGCCTATCTGTCATGTACAAATAGTATTTTGCCTCCCACACGAGACCGGTATGTGTTCACCAGCCTTCAAAGGATGGAACGTTTGGTTGGTTCGACAGGAGCGGAATCGCCATTTGACTCCCAGGCCGGGCCGCAGGGATAATAGGCAGAGCCACTTCGTCACTTACTTCGCCCACGCGTCCCCTCCACACGCCCTCCACTTCTAGTCTTGGAAGACATAAACTAGGTCCATCAAACATAAGCATTTCCTTCAGCGCGGCGACATTCACTATTCTTATTAGTTAGTCGGAGGTGTTCACCATGGAAGGTATAGGCATCCCGCTTAAGTGAAGAGGCCGGTAACATTGACCACCACTCCCCCCCTCCCACACACACAAAAAAAACTCCCTGCCTTATGCCTGACCCACCTACGGGCCTTCCTTGCCTCCCAAAATCCCTTGCTCCTCAGTCCTATCTTGTCTCACGAGTTTTCCAAAAACTCGTTCAGTTCTTTCCCAAAAATTTTATTTTGTCCATCCTGGAGCGAGGGAGGTCATCAGCCGCCGTCTACTGCGGTGTATGATATCTTTCTCCCCATTTAACAGCTCAGAAAATAGTAGTGCGCTGCAGGGCATGACCCTATTCGCGGAGAATTATCCGCAATATCTACCCGACACATTCTCTTCTGGAGGATAAGCACTTCCCCATCATGCCTCCTTCGCCATCTTCCGTGAACTTCCTCACTTTTTACGTTTTATCAGTTATTTTATTATCAAAAATTCTTCCGACCACGAAGAAGGGGCATTGCGGCTCCTCGGGGACATGGCGCCACTAAGCAAACAGGAAAAACTGAGTCAATAACCGGTAACCTTTTCCACGAAGACATATAGCATCCCCTCCCCATCATATTCCATATAGCTACTAGGTACCCTCTCCTCCCTGCGGATGCGATATGTCCTGGTTGAAGTGGTAGTCTTACGGCGCTGGCAACCCAGGAGGAACAAGGGGGGCACTTTCAAGGCGGTAGGGCAATTGGATATATTTGCAAATATTGTCGTCTAACTCTGGACAATGCTTTTTACCTCGAAATCAGATGTGTGCTGAAAAAGCTTTTTTTTCACAAGCTTTATTTATTTCAAGCATCCAGTGAGAGTATAGAAATAAGAATTTCTCGAATATCTACATTTTTTTCAGGAAGAAATCTCTTATATCTCTACGGGTCATCGTGAAACGTTGCACAATTACCATAACATGGAACTGCAGCTTGGACGAAACTGCTCTGCTACCACATATAAACGAAAGCATCATGAGTCAAATGTGATACAGCTAGAAGGAACAGAACACTCGGATTTTGATGGACAAGATAAAACATAAAACTATTAAAAGACTCTGGCAAGAACTACAAAATAGCAAGTAGCACCACATAACAAGCGTAGTACACATATAGGTACTGAGAAAAGGAAAAACGAATATAATGCAGTCAAACATCAGAAAGCTATTATGTCAAGGATTAGTGTCAAATATGCTAAAATGCGATATTTCATTAAATACTATAACAACTGGTAGTTATGCCAATTGCCTGTATGTGATGAGGTGATTAAATGATCACTGACAGTGATATGACGTAAACAAGATCAGTAGCCCTGAAACCTTCACACACCTTCATATTAAACAGGATTATTCGTCGGAGATGTCGCTGGAGTGAACTGAGGTGCTGCTGATTCCATCCTGAGAGTTGAACATTGAAACTTCAAGAAAAATACGATGACAAATCCGACCAATTATTTAACAAAAGCATTTCTCGGAATTACATAGAAAATGTAACTCAGTCATTTTGATGAGGCTTAAACATTCAGATCAGCGAATTAAAATGAAAGATTGCTCAGAATGCTAAGCGGTCAAGCTAGGACTCCTAACGACAGTCCCCGCGCTCAACCAATTCGTTGGTAAGTTTCCTTGTTCAAGTAGTTTGGTCCTCAGTCTCTGAGATTCTCCCTTTTTCGCGGCTTCACAAAGAATGACCAGGCTTCACAGTGAGTGACCTGGGTGCGTCCTCCACGGGTGGCAGTTCTGGAGCCTCCCTAGTTGCCCCGCCCACCAGAATTCGCGGGCTATTTCGTCATAGCTTCAGATTTTACACCGCGTTTTTGGTTTTTTTTTTCTTTTTGGGTACCATTAGCATTGGATAACGCGAGGAAACGATAAAAGAGCCAGTGGCGGCTGGCTCTCTAATCTGGCCTAGAACTAGCAGGTCCAGGGAACTCGCACAATGAGGCAACCAGGAGGACCTTATGGTGTTCTCCACGTTCCACTGTTCTCTTTTTTTACGTTTTTTTTGCTCTGTAGAGTCCTTTCGTGACCATAAACTCGTTATCAACTGCCACCACCCACAACATGCAGTCGTTGGGCTTGTCTTTGACAGCACCTATCATAGTACAATTGCTCGGAATGTGGGAAAAAGTCTGGACCTGGCAGGTGCAAAACCTTTCCCCGCAGTTCAGTATTTTTGTATACGGCCTAGTTAAGCCGAACATTAGCCAGAAGACAAAACGCAGTTTCCATAACAAACACCTTGCCAAAAATATCCGAGAATGGGTGGCGAATCTCACCTTGAAGTTTTATCGCCATCAATAATCACCGTAGTTAAAGCGAGTAAATGGCTGTTTGGCGCGGCTCGAAAAAAGAAGCACACCAAGACGGAGACAGAATGAAAGCATCAGCGGCACAGGTTAGCTGAAAATTCTGTACTTTCAGTCCTCCCACTTGGCTGCAATAGCGATACTGCCTTTGCACAATAGAATGCTGCGCTCCCTGTTATGCGGGATAACCTCAAAGGTAGTGGTACGCGTCTGCGAAGGCATGCAGGTTGGACTCCAAATAAACATCACTGGTAGAGGGTCTGGAGTAGAGATGGCCAAATGCCCTCTCGCAGCCCTAACACCAACTACACTGCCGTAATCACCGCCCATCTTTAGCAATCTTCCCCGCTGCCTTCAAGGGTGTTGAACATTCTGATCTTTCACGAGGATCTGAGACATTTCTGGTTTAGAAAAGGGAGGCGCGACTAGTCTGCATCCTCTCACCGAGATAACAACCCTGTTTCTTTTCACAAGCTCTTAACAAAGCACAGGCGGCTAGAATGGACATGGCTCGGTATAACAATAAAAATGAGAAGTCGGCCGTAAAACTTTCGGAGCTCATGAAAGAACGTACCGATAAGAAAAAGTAGATGATTATCAGTTGCACAGTGTATCGGAACGAATCAAAAAACCCTACGAGGCATACGAGTGTGCCAAAAGAGAACAATATGAAGAAGATTGCTGACATAATAAATACCTGAAAGCAAAACAAGATATCGTGGTACGTAACAGCACGGTGTGGCTTAGAAGCAATAGGCACGATAGGTGCGGGCGGGTGGTTACTGCCAACCTCATTGGTAGAAGGGCTGCGAGCGGGCGTTTGGCCGCCTCCATCAAACCTTACACCAATGACGATGGCAGTAACCGCCCGCCCCAGCCATCGTACCCCTGCTCTAACTATAAGAGACAGTTTTCGCTCACCCACAAAGTGCATGGAACGAAAAGGTTGATACCACCAGGCAGCTGCAACACCTAAAATAATTACAGTATAAGAATTAACAAGAGTACAACGTAGAGCGCCAACGTGGTTGGGGAATGGAGGGCTGCCAGTGTCTTGGCATCTACGAGACCGGAATCACTGATGCGACAATGTTGGGAAATTATCGAATTATTGATTAAAAAATTAGGAAAAATGAAAAGAAAATTGAGAAAATGAAAAGAAAATTGAGAAAATGATTAGCGATTCTTCTTGTTCCCCAACCTGAAAAAAGATCTCCGTGTGGAAAGCGTTTTTTCTGACGATGAAGCGCTGAAGGCGGCAAACGCTCATTTCGGGACAAAGAGGAAAAATGCTTCTCAGAGGGTATTGAAAAGTTAGTTTCCCGAGCAAACAAGTGTATTGAGGTTATGGGGAACTACATTGAAAAATAAATTTTATTCAGAATTTTCTGCCTTTTCCTTCATACCTATACCGAGAATGCATTGAACACTCCTCGTATGTGCTTTCCCTTCACCAGGACTTACCTAGAGCA